CAGATCATTTTATGATCATGTAATTCTGTCTTCTGAAATTATCCTGTTGCCAATTTTCCAGCTAATAGAATATTCCTACTGGTTGAGGTTCTCTTATGACTGTATTATAATGAATATGAATAAAAGTGGTTACTATTTTTTTCCTGCCTTCCTTCTTTCTTCCTTCCTTCCCTCCATTCCTTCATCCCTTCCTTCATTTTTTTTTTTTTTTACCTGTTTGTATGAGGACATGTTGCTCTCTGAATTACTTTAGTGAAAGATGGGCAAGGAAGGGTGTGTTACAATTAAAATATTGATATTGAATGTCTGAAGTAGCCGGGCGAAAGTGCGGCATATCCAAAGAAAGTTATTTTGGTAGTTCCCACAGTAAAGAAGATCTACTAATGTTTCTTCCTATGTCATTGCAATTTGGAACAAGGAATCAGGGAAAAGATGACAGTGTTGGTAAATATTCTGCTTACACTGGAAGACAACTGAACTGAAAGTCAGTCCATATCATAAAGGGCTATAGCAATCCAGGACTTTCCCAAGGAGCCATACCTACTGTTCCCCCTTTGTGTCTGAACTTTGGTCTTTTTATGATGCCACGTAATTCTCATTTTTCCTTTTCCTTTCCTTTTTCTGCTTAACACGCTTGCCTTCTCCCATTCACTGCCCCACCAGCCAGCCCACAGGCCCTCTGGAACTCACACACAGACATACAGATGCACAGACAGATACACAGACACACCCAGACACACACACACACTCATACACACAGTCACATTTGAGTTCCGATTCAGAGTCTTATCCTGGGTTGAGGCTTCTTTGATATGACTTCTCAGGCTTCTTCATGAAGGACTAGTTCAGATCACAGGAGAATACTTCTATTATGTGTGTCATGGACATTCTTGGAACAATAACAAGTATGATTTTAAAGGATAAGATGTCAGGGAAGGAGCATAGGCTTTGGAGTCAGCCAGAGCAGGGAGTGATTTCCAGGCTCACTGGTTGCTGGTTGTGTGACTTTAGGTACTTCTGTGTGCTTCGGTTTCCTCATTTGTAAAACAAGGATATCAACAACTCTCTCAGAGGGCTTTTGGGAAAATTAAATAATATACTTAGTCAAAGGGTAAGTGGCTAGCATAAAGGAGGTACAGACAATTTTTTTTTGTTTTCTCTTTTCTAATAAATCTAGAAATATAATAAAATGATAACACACCTACTAGTGAGATGAAGTGTTATTGCTTGAAATGGGAAAAGTCTCAATTGATCTGACCTCCAGCTTTATTTAATCTTATTTTTTCAGTGGAGGATGGATTTATATTGGCTTTCAGACAAACTCTCTTTGTGTTACAAGAAGTAACACCCTGTTTGTAATAAATCAGCCTTAAAAGAGGCCTTTTCCTGTGAATTTGCCCAGGAATAGTTGCAGTTGTATTGAAAAGAGTCTAGTCAGTTCCTCTGCTATTAAAATATATCCATGAGAAAGATGGAGTGTCTTTGTTTATGCCTATTTATAAAAATGCATACTTTAAAGAATAAATAATTTCTTAATTTTAAGAGGATCCAAGACAAAACTGGTAGCATTCACATTTTAGTTACTGTTAGTCATTTCATTTCTGTGATTCTCACATATATACTTATTCCTTGAAATTATCACGTGTACACTCATATGGATATCATCACATTTTATTAATCAAGGAAAACTGATTTGTATGTGTGACTTGTGGAATTAGTCCTGAGTTTTTACTGATATTTATTTCGATAAAGTCTAGTTATTATTTGGGGTGATGAACTTTTTAATTCTCTTAAAAACCTTGAAAGATAGGTGTTGCCACTTTCATTTTGCGGATGAGGAATGGAGGCTCTGAGACACCACACAATTTGCCCAAGTAACACAAGTTATGACCACTTAAGGGACAGAACTGGGGGCTAAGCCAGGCTGTCCAACTTTAGCCATGGTGCACTTCCTACTTTCTTTGCTGTCTCCCTTTGTGGGGATCAGCCTCTATTCCTGGCATTAGCCCTACTTATATATTCCTTTCTTCCTTCTCAATGTTAGTCATTTCAATATTTTACTAATCACCAATGTGAACAACTTTTAATTCAATAACATCAGAGCAGTGTAGTTCAATCTGTATCCTCTAAGAGCCTACGCATTTCCACTTTGGGGAAAGCAAGGTTGGGGGACACAGGATACTGTCACTAATGAGGACTCGTTAGAGGCATCACCCTGAACCAACAGAGGATCCAGTGCTCCCCTGCCTGGGGCTACAATGGCCATCTCCATCCCTCTCCTTCCATGTTGCACAGAAGAAAAGGGGGCCCAGAGCAGTTACATGATTTGCCAATGGTTGATCATGAACAGCCGGGACTGGAACCTAACAGCCTAACAGAGACCTCCCCTCAGTTATAAAGTGGAATTTGGAGATCAGAGCAGGGGTGTGGAACAGACATAGACAGATCTGTGTTGCTGCATGCTCAATTCTCTTTGTGTCAAGAATTTACCGGTCATCTGTTACCATCAACAGTTTACCAGATCATGGCCACAGAATCAAAGCAGAAAGTTAGTGCCTCCTGTGGGTGACTATTGTGGGAACTTTCCCAGAAGTCGATCACGAGTTTTCTCTCAAAGTTAAGTAAGCTGCTGGTTTGAAGATCATAATGATTCCATGTGCCTAAAGATCTATTACAGGTGGATTGAGGATTATAGTTAAATTGATGTTATCTTTGTCTTCATTTACACACAATGAATGAATATTCATGTTAGCTTTAATTTCTTTTTCCTTTGCAATAATTCTACTTTTATTTAAGTGCTACATCAAAGGTTTAGGTCATCTGCCATAGTCTGGAGGACCACAGGGTAAAAGCCTTGAGTCAAAACACGTGGGAAGAGTCATTTGCCACAATTGTGTCCTGGTTTATTTAACCATTTTCCAGCACTGCATATGCAGGCATAGACCTTCCCAGTAATTGCTTGTTGAAAGAATGAAGACTGATAAATATAGAAAGACACACAAAATAATTTGGCCACTTATGCTTGACTAGATAAGACTGAGGACAAAGATGGTATTTGAAACCATCCAAAAGTTCTAGAACATGGGAATATATTTCCAACTGACAGTTCCGTAGAGAAAGGTTTGTTTCTCCTTGGTAACATAAGTTGTAGTTGAAGATAGAATTATTTTATACATTGGGAACAGATCTAGTTAGTTGAAATACTTATCTCATGTGGACGAGGAAAGAAAACACCAGAGTAAGAAATAGGAATACATCATTCAAAAATTTTATATCTTAGAAGAGAAAAAGAGAAGTGGAAAATGAATTAAGCCAAGCAGTTCACATGAACAGTACAGTTGGTGGAGAAAGAGTGACCACAGATAGGCAGCCAGAAGCCAAATTCCACTGCAAATTCTTCAAAAAGCAGGGGTCTTTAGAGGGCTAGGAAGCATGGTGGACGGAGCAGCTGTGCATTCTTCCATTACAAGCGGAAGGTTAAGGTGGGTCATAAGATTCTGTGCTGCACACTCAAAGATGCCTCCACCTGCCCTGGGCTGGCTGTGTCCTCCGTGAAACATTGGTAAGGCCTTCAGCTAGGGTGACTTCAGTCCCCCAAAGACATCCACAGACTGACAAAATATGGAGAGGAAAAGGCCAATGTTCCAGATGCAGGAGGAACCCACATACAAGAAAAGACGCTAACTTCTAAGCAATGAAGGGGGAGCAATGAAATCATTCAGGGCGGACCATATGTCTATAACTAGAATTTTGTTGATTAAAATAAGAAAAAAGTTGAATAAATAGTTCCTAATACCCTATAAGTAAATCTCCATCGGCTCAGAAAAAGGTGAATTTGAAAAGCAAACACTGAGAAAATGTAATATGTTCTGAATTACATAGCATACAGAATCCTCTTTCCTAATTCATGAGTCTCTAAGAGTAACAATTTTCCAATGAAACAAACAACAAAACAAAATGAACAAAACTTTAAAAACTATCAACAAATATATTTATTGTGGTGGCTTTCCCCCTACTAGATACACCTTGTTAGAAAGTAGTACCCCTTTTAGTTCCAGGTGGACCATTAAGCAGGTAATAAAATTGTTTTTCCCTCGTTGAGAGAGAAAGAAAACACATGACTTTGCAAACGTGTTACATCCTCTTTGCTCTAGTTTTTGTTTTCTATGAAATCAGAAATTTCTTCTGATAAGTATGATTTTCTTTCTGGAAGTAAGTTACAGGTACATGTGTACAGCTTATATAACCCGAGGGGTAGCAGAGGCTGAACCACACAGTGATGACATAGATTGGAGACCTGTGCCAGGTAATCAGAACCCTTCACAGTTTTGTAACGCACAATAGTCAGCTCCAATTCTATGGTTTCTTCCACATTTTCCCTTTCTCCAATCCCATACAGTATATTGAACTCTGCTGTGCACTCTCATGCTTCTTGCAGAAGGACAGGATGAGGGCAATCGAACCAATCTTAAAACAGTTGTTTCTGTGCTGATAATTCCTATGACTCCAAATGCCAGGCCCTAACATCTGAGCACTCGCTACACCTCCTGGACAAAACAAGACTATCTTTTTGAAAGCTATTTCTCTCCCCTGATCTCTTATCTGTTTTGAAGGGACACTGCATCTTTGAATTTGCAGAACTATCTTTTGCTTCTTAGAACAATAGCTTGAAAAATATTTCTATAGGGAAAAGATGTTGCTTCTCCAGATGTCATCATTAAGTTGTTACATCATATAGCCTATTGATAATTATGTACAAAATTTCTTGTCTCTTAACAATGCACGTAAGGTAACTATTCGAAAGCGTCCCTTCTTTGAACTTTTGGTTCTTTGTTGTTAGCTATGCTTGTATGAAGAATATAGCAACTATTCGGAATGTTGTTTAGACTGAGCAGTAACTGACACGTTGTCCATTTGTGGTCCTAGCGGCTAGAGCACCTGTCCTGGGCATCTGGTTGAGATAGCAGCATCACGAGTCTACAGCAATCGCGGGGGACCCTCTAGTGTACAGTGCTGACTGATACCGATTTCTGTGGTTTATCTTGGAGCTTTCTCTTCTTCTGCTGCTGTTTGTCTTTGTTTTCTCGCTGTTCTGGGGTTTCTCTGCTGGGTTCCAGACCTTTGTTATCAGGTATTGCGTCCTTACTCTCTTCTTTATTAAGTTTTTTTCTTTTCCTCTCCCTTCCTTTTTTTCCTGAAATGAAAGGATATGCCTTTAAAAAAATACATTTAATTATGTTCTATTTGGTTATTCTAAGTTTTTAAAAACGAGTTAAATTTCTCTTAAGTTGCATACTATATGCATAAATACCAAATATCTCCTACTTCCATCACTCACTCAGCTACTCTTTATTAACTGTATACGATATTTCAAGGAATGTAAACATGAAATGCATACAAAATATAATGAAGCAATTAATATATGGTAGTTTCATTCTGTTCACATTGGAGAAGTGCTGAGAATTGTAGAGGAAGAGAGTAATTTGATCAAAGTGCATGAGCCTGGCACCACAATGGATGAATTTTTAAAACTTATTTCTGAATAGTGAATTATATTATCATGTAAACATTTTACATATACGATCTACAGTGTAAAATAATTTCTGAGAGCATGATTTTAGTAACATCCATTAATACATATATCCCAATGAGAAATTGCTGACTTAGATCAATGTCGTAGTAAATGAAATCTAGGAACCAACTATTCCTTATGTGGGACAAATGCTGATACTGCATATCCCCACATACCAAATCATGTAAAATTTGAAATTAGCCTCTGTCTACAAAAAGTCACTTTGGACAAAGGTATTTTGGAGAAATTATTTGCACGACAGAAGCAAAATATTTTCATGTCCTGAAATAGGCTGCAAATGTTGAATTCAGTGGTTTGGCTTTCCTTTTCTTGAGCTCTGGTTACAGAAACCTAGGGAGCAATATTATTAATATTGCATATGTACACTCAGCCAAAACAATCTCCTTGGGTTAATGACTTTTATGCCACAACTAGCTTTGTCTGAGACTATGTTTACAAAACCTTCCAGTTACTTTATGAAAACTTGCCTTGTGGGCTCAACATAACACACCTCCAAATTCTGGACTTTCATAGGACAGTTAACAAAAATGAGAATTCAGACCACCATAAAACAAATATCAGTGAAATTGTTTTAGATATGTAAAGGTGAACAACAAAACATTAGAATCAGCTATTATGCCTAGGTCGGAACGAGTTGTACACTGATTCACCAGTTCCATTATTCTTTTCCCTTAAAAGAATATTGCTAGATTGATAAGATTTCTACAGAAAGGATCCACGTTGGGTTCTTTTTTCCACACTGCCTTAAATTCCTACACATTTGAAATGGTAACTTGAACTTGGTAACTAAACAAGATAAAATTGAAGAGTAAATTTACCTTCCTGAATATATAGCATAATTTAATTTTCGTAAAGCTGCACAAACTGAAAGAGAGAAATGTTGATTTTCATGGTATGTGCTTGGTTTTCAGAAGGGCATGGCTGCAAAAGTTATATTACATAATATTTCCATTTTGAGAATAATTTCGGAGGTGTTCAAGTTCAATTCTAAAAAAAATCGTCAGTGAAAACCATTCCAAAGTTCCCCAAAAATTACCTACCCCAAACAAAATGTTATTTTTATGGAAATCATCCAAAAGTTCAGCGTTTCATATTGTTCTCTTGATGACGGTCCAACATCTTACTGCTGTGATCCCAACTTTAATGTTTTGGATATATGAGAACTATATTGTTTCTTTCTTGGTCACAGATTGATTTACATGTTTTTTAGTCACATGTGACAACATACTCAACTTACACTGCATTTCTGCTTATTAGCAAACTGATATGATTATTTCTTAAGACAGGCAGAAACATTTTTGGAAGTAGCTCGAAACTCAGTCTTATAGTTTTATTATCCATGGAATAGCTATTTAGTCTGGGCAGTGAGTGAAAGGGGAGGCTCGAGTAAAGTAACGGTAAACTGGCACATTGTACATTGTTCTTGCCCAACGAAGGGCTATTACACAATGGGAAAATGGGATTATTATTTTTTACAGGCCATGTGTTAGTGGTTGGAAACACTATCCTTTTGCATAACTGATATATTTTCCTCTTGTCCAAGAAATAAAATAGAAATGCAAAAGAGTGGCCATAGTCCATTAAAAATCACGTGCAATTTGGGAAATTTTGTAAGGTTTTCATTAAAGGCAACTTCTTTTTCTATTCTGGTGACTTTTCCTTGATGTGGTCAATAGCTATTTTTATACTTTTTAAAAATAATTTTGTGATAACTAAGCATTCCAGTTATCACAATCTTATATACATATTTGTGTTTTGTTGTTCTCTGATTATATGTGTGCACATGCACGTCTGCCACAATTGGGTTGTAGAACGTTCCAATGATTAAAATAATGTTCATCTTCCCTTAATGTTGCAGCTATGAGGGTGGTGTCTGGATAGAAACCATCAAAGAGAAGTTGCTATTAGTAATCAAGTACAATCCGAGCCCTTGCAGGGAAGCACTACGGTATAATGTCTAAAAACACCGCCTTTAGAGTCAGAAAACACGGTGTTCAAATTCTAGATCTGCCACCAACTAGTTGTGTGACTTTTGACAAGTTGTTGAAATCCCTCAGGATTAACTGTCATATTTAAATGTGGATAATCATTACTACTTGCTAAACTTTGTAAGGATTACACATGATGCTTGTAAAGCACTTACCATGGTGTGTGGCACACATTAATCATGAGAGAAATGAAAGCTAATGTTATTAACTCATTACACCAACACGAATTAAGCCTCTACTCGATGGCAAAAAAGCTAAAACTTGAGGATACAAGTGAGATATGGAGACAGGCACAATAATTAGTTACAAGCTAATGCTAAAATAGAGGCATGCACACAATCCTATTGGGAACACAGCGCTGAAAGCATTGAACTCTCCCAATGGAGATTGAAAAAGACTCCCCAGATGAGGTGATGTTCGTGCTGAGCCTTAAAGAATGAGGGAGAGTTTGCCAGGCTGATGAGGGAAGAAGGACATGTGGGGCAGTGAACAATATGTCGATGGCATGAAGGCATACAAGGACGTGGTGAATCTGGGGGACTGAAAGTAGACTTCCTTGTTTTGATCAGAGTCTATATATAGGATATTACCCAGAGGAGCTGGAATGATATACAGGACTCGATTGCCATGTTGGGAATTTGTCCTGAGGATCAGTGGTACTGAAAACTGGAGAAGGGCAAGTATCAGAATCTGAGAGCAGGGCAGAGTTCAGATGTTTCTGTGACTCGTTTAGAAAATGCCAATAGGATTTTGAAATGTGAAATACCTATTTCAGAAATACTTGTGTAAGTAATAAGAATCCATAGAAGGAGTAATAAGAATCCACAGGCAGTGACTGGTACTTATTTTTGAACCCTAACTTTTAAAAGAGTAGCTAAAATCTCTGTGCAGACCATATAGGTACTTATTATTTAAAATTTCATTACAAGTAGTATCTTATAATTGAATAGGTGATTGACATTTTTGAGTTAATGAAATTATTTCCTATTAATACAAAAATATATAGTCATTCACATAAGCCATCTGCAGACGAGGTTTCCAAACATAGGTGACTTTGAAAAATACAGATTCCTAGGCCTCCACCCCTGGAGATTATGATTCAGTAGTTCTTCTGGTCTAGGAAACTGAGGTTAATAGCAAGTTCACCTTGAGTTTATTCTGAAATGAAGCCACATTTAAGAACCACAGCTGTGGATCAATACAAGACCCAATTTCTTTTAACATACACTCTCAAAATTTATTTCACATCGCATGGTTTCTCATTTGACTTCTTGTGTTTTTTTCCCAATGGATATCAGATTTGTTTTTTGACTTACTGTAGCTACTAATTTTTTTTTTTTTTTTTGGTAAAGACTGGCACCTGAGCTAACAACCGTTGCCAATCTTCATTTTATTTTATTTTTTTGCTTTTTCTCCCCAAATCCCTCCAGTACATAATTGTATATTTTAGTTGTGGGTCCTTCTAGTTGTGGCGTGTGGGATGCGGCCTCAGCATGGCCTGATGAGTGGTGTCATGTCCGCACCCAGGATCTGAACCTGTGAAACCCTCGGCCGCCGAAGTGGAGTGACTTAAGCGGAGAAACTTAACCGCTTGGCCACGGGGCCGGCCCCTGTAGCTACTAATTTTTAAAGTAAGTTTTCTGATTATTTGAAATAGACACCTAGATACAAAATGAAAATTAGTTGAAGATTTTTAAAACCGTTAGATAGAAATAGGAACTAAAAAGAATAAACATGTAAAAAAGAACAAAGAGAGAAGAAAATGATCCTGAATTATTTTTCCTAAGTTACATATTTAAGTTCCAAGTGAAAATATGGACTATAGAAAGTGCTAAATTACCCTTTTAAATGTAATGGGGCTATGAATAAAAGAATCTTTCTCTCTAGAATCACAAATATCTTATTTATTGAGAAATTCAAATTGTAAATATCAGTTCTTGCTTTTCTGGGTGTTTAGAAATATCTATGCACTGGTCTTTATAAAAGCTGCTTCTTGGTGAATTTCTTGCAAGACACCACAAAGGGGAGCCATTGAGCTTCACGTAACTCCAAGCAGAATTTTTCTCAAAAAGCTAAAAATGGATCCCACATTCTAGACTGAGGACTAAATATCACTGAGTCTATGATTCAAACCAATTAAATAGACATCCCATTAAAAACATAAAATTTATTGCTAGGTCTTTTCTCTTTTTTGGGTATGGGATGAAATTCAAATGGAAACCCAATGGTTTTTTACCTTGAAAAAAGTATGAATGGTATGAAAATGGCATTAATCTAATGATTCTTTAACCTAGAGTTGGACTTGATTTTTAGGTATAGAGGATAAAAATTGCACCTTTGCTTCTTTTTAGTTGAGATATCACTGGGGGAAGTTTGCAAAGGAGGGAAAATTGCTACAGTATATCTTCTTCAGCAACTATGATCTAGTGTATAGACACATATTTAAAGGCCTTTGAATTGTGAGCTACATAAGCTCAGGACAGCTCGACTCCGTGGTGAAGAACACAACTGAAAATCAATAAGGCCAAATTCCTTCTCAGCTATATGACTACCAAGTGGAGTTAATCTGAAATGTATCTAAACCTTTTGTCTCTTTGCTTCTTGTTTGAATAA